AGGCCAGAAGGACACTTTTTCCTGGGGACGGGAGTTCACCACAGGATGGTCAGGTCTGTCTTCTGTTGCCCAGCTAGAGGGCACAGTCCCCCACGCCCTCCTTTCCTTTGTTTTCTCCTGTTCACAGTCCCCACAGGTCCACTCCTGACTCCGAAGGCGACTCTTTAACTTCGCACAAACCCACACGTCTTTCTTCTCCATTGCTCTAACCCAGGCGACCACCATCTCCTGCCCGGCCTGACAGCTGCCAGTCTTCCCCCACCCGCAAGGTGACTTCCACACTGCAGCCAGACCAGGCCCAAATCCTCTGCCTGAAAACTTTTATTAGACGGGTATTGACAAAATATCTACTGATAACATATACATCACGGTGGAAAACTAAATATTTCCCCCACTACAATCAGTAACAAGACAAAGTTTCTGCTCTGACCATTTCGATGCAATTCAAAGGAGGATCTAATCAATGCAGTCATAAAAAAAAGGAAAAATAAAAAGAAAAGGCATCCACACTAGAAGAGAGAAACAAAAATTGCTACTATTCACAGATACAAACAATATTATTTGAACTAATAATGAATTCAGCAAGATCATAGGACGTGAGTGAATATACAAAAATCAACTGCATTTCTATTTATCGGCCCTGACTAGTCCACAAATCAGATTTTTAAAAGTATTCTATTCACAGCGGCATCAAAACAGTAAAAGCTTTTATAAGAGAAATTTCTAGCTCAAGATGGAGAGCCAAGACTCCATGTCAAAATCCCATTCCACCTGACCCCAAGATTCTCAGGAAAGTGACCTGAGACAGACAGCATATTTACGTCCACCTTGAAAACTAAGAAAAAGAGACAAGATACCGACGTGCCACGGAATGCCAAGGCATTTCTCCAAGATGCAAAGCCAGTGAGATTCCATTAAGAAGGTTAGCAAGGCAGGATGTTGACAGAGAAATGCAGCTTAAAATAGGTTTTAAAGAAGTAACTTGAAGCACTTGTAGTATAGAAATCACAGAAAAAGCACAGAAAACTTGTACTTGAAGACAGGGAAAGGGAAGTAACAGCAAGAAAGCTTAAAAATAGAAAGCACTAAATATCATAGAGAAGCACATATATCAGTTGTCACCAAAAAAAGGTGAGGGGACTAAACTTTCCTGTTAAAGAATAAAGATTTTCTGTGAGAATTTTTTTTATAAAACTCCAACTCTATTTTTCTATCCCTAGACAATGACAGATGTATTAAAGAGAGAGGAACAGGCAAAGATGGACCCAATAAATTCAAAAGGAAAAGAAAATGGGAAGAGAAACCCGGCAATATTCGATTCCAAGCAGAACTGGAGGTATAAAAAAAAAAAAAACTTGAAGGATAAAGATAATTTGTATGTTGAAAAAATATAAAACTCACTGTGAAAATAGGATGTTTACAAATATTAAGGGACCAAAGATATAGCATCCGAATCTATAAATTAAAACTTAGAAATAACAGAAGAAACTGAAAAATAAAAAAACAGTTAAAATGTGAGACGAATATATTGGTCTTGACAAATACCAATTAGCCCACAAATAAGAAATTAGAGCAACTGTATGTCATGAATAACATGAATTTTTACCCTTTGACTGAAGAATATCTGTTCTTTCCCAATAGTCATAGAACATTTACCCCAAAAATTATCTTATACAAAGGAGGGGGAAGTCAACAAATTCTCCAAAGTAGAAATCATAATGCGATCTTAATGCAATAAAGCTAGGTAATATTTTTTGAGTATAAGCAAATATTACTTGAAAATTTGAGGGGAAAAAAAACCCCTAGAGTCAAAGAGAGAACAAAACTGCAATTAGAAACTCTTTCTGAAATAACAACTACCCATCAAAATTGATGGGATATGGTCAAAGTTGTACTTAGGGGAAAATGCCTCTTAATGTTTTTATTATCAAACAAGAAATAATGGAACTAATTCAATTCACGAAATCAGCATAAGAGCAACATCGGCCTAAGGTAAGTGGGAGAAAAGAATGGATAAAGATAAAAGTAGAAATCAATATGTGAGATAATAGAGGAGGAATGAAATTGATAGCCCTAGCTCTGGGACTTTAAAAAGGCCAATAAAATAGGCAAAGTTCTGGAAAGACTAATGGAGTAAAAGAAAGGAAACACCAAGCCGAGGAGAAGATGGCGGAAGGGAGGTAGCCCAGACACTGGAAAGATGGACAGGTACGGTGCCAGGTAATTAGTAAGGATGAGTGAGTCCCTAGACAAACATGCAGACAAGAACTGATTCATGAGGAAGAAGAAAACCTAAGTAGACTAATAACTAGGGAAAAATAAAAATGTTCACAACCATCCAAAGGTCCACACCCCCAGAGAAGCCCCACTCCAACACCCCCAAGGACAGCATATTCCAATGTTATTCAGATTATCCTCTGGGCCTTCCCCTGGGCAAACCCTGCATGCCCTTGGCTACTACTAAAATGAACTGAAATGAGCAGACCAGGTGAAGAATCTAACTAAGCAGGGTGAAGGCAAAGAACCCCAGATCCTCCTTCTCAAACTGGGCTGGCTGGCCAGGGAAGGCTGTTGGGCTGTGCCAGGGCAGGACCACCCTCCTAAAGGCCTTTATATTCCCTGTACCCAGAGCGTGGAAGCATTCCCCAGATGCCCAGACAGAGATGCCATGCGTGACCCTCCATGATTCTGCTGTCTTCTCCTGAGAAAGGTCTTCCCCCAGTGCCCTAGAGAACCCCAACATCGCTCCTGGACCCCACGTGCATGCTTGGTCTCCCTAGTGTGATGGGCAGGGTGTGTGCATACCTGTCTTCCCATTAGCACATACACTCCGTGAAGGCAGGGACTTCGTTTTGCTCACTGCTGTGTTTACAAGTGCTCAGACAGTGCCAGGACATAGTAGGTGCTTGTGAAATATTTATGGGACAAATGAGCAAAGAGGACTGTTGTGGTTTGGATAAAAAGCTCATGTGTGAGACAATGCCAGGTTTGGAGGAGAAATGACTGGGTTATAGCCTTAACCTAATCAGTGAATTAATCCCTGGTGGGATTAACTGGATGGTGATTAGAGGTGGGTGGGATGTGGCTGGAGGAAGTGGTTCATTAGGGGCCTGGCTATCGGGTATATATTTTGTATCTGGTGAGTGGAGTCTTTCTCTCTCTCTGCTTTCTGATCATCATGTGGACCGCTTCCCTCTACCACACTGTTCTGCCATGATGTGCTGCCTCACCTCGAGCCCTGGGGACTGGAGCCTACTGTCTGTGGATTGAGACCTCTGAAACTGTGTGCCCCTAAATGAACCCTTCCTCCTGTACAGTTGTTCTGGTAAGGTCTTTTAGTCACAGTGGCAGAACACCTGGCTAAAACGAGGGCTACTCTTGTCCCTTTAACGAAGTTTCACTGAACACCTAGCAAGTGCCTCACTCTGCCCATCTCCAGGCAAGATGGATGAGCCACGTCTAAACCTGAATGGGTTGGACCCTTGCTGCAGCCCTCCCATCTCACCTGTGCACTGCCCTGAGAGGGCAGGGAGAGGGAGAGAAGAGGGCGGGGTCCACCCTGCAGATGTGATGTGACCCCACTCTGGGAACCCAGAGGCCCGGGCTCAGAAGCATCTTAAACAAAGCCTGGAGATGAAACCCAGGGCTGGGAAAGCTCATTAATGCACCAGCCATTAGAGGCAATTAGGCTTCCCTTGACTCTGAAGTCATTAACCCCTTGGTTCCCGGGGAGCGGGGAAGCCTGGCTACAGGACAGGGCAAGGCTTGTGATGGAGCACTTGCAGAGCTACCACTCTGGGGCCTTTGCCTTCACCCCCAAATGCTTGCCCTTCCTGCAGAGGGTGGAAGCCCTGGCGCCCTGTCTCCCTCCTGGTGTGTCATCTTTCCACCTTGGGACACCATTCAGGGGCACAGGACAGCCATCTCACCTGCTCCACAATTTTGTCTTTTATCTGCTGGCATGGCATCGAGAGGGTGAGAACTCACCCAAACTCCCAATTTCTAAAAGTGCTTTTACTAGCGCATCACTGTTACCCACCGCAGCAGGTTCATCTCAACAGACGTGCAGGTTCCCAGTACGTCCTCCTCCCCCCCTTGCCCCTGCCCTTGCTCCCCTTCTTCCACTCTGCTGGTCTTCTACAGGTTTATGTTTCATAATCGGTACTTTATAGATAAGCAGGAAAGTGGAATCGCTGTGGTATGTTCATATATCTACATAGCATAATTTGCTCGATTTCATTCTGCCGTCCCCCTTTTCCTCTCCCTCCTCCTTCCCCCTCACTTTCCTTCCTATCCTCTGCCCATCTCCCTACTATTTTCATGGGGGACCCCCTAATACTTTTTTTCACTTATTGTCTAGCCTTCCCCTAGGAAAAAAAAATTTCTGGCTTATGTCCCTTAGCAGGATGTTCTCCAGTGCCACCCAGTTACTAGCACATGCCATAGCTCATTCTTCTTTGTGGCTGAGTGAAGCTCCATGGTGTATAGATACCACATTTTCTTTGTCCGTTCCTCTGCCAAGCTCCCAATTCTACACTCATAGTCAAGGCCACCCAAATGCAAGGCAAATTTCAGCAAAGTATTCGTGGTTTTGAATGCATCATGCAAGAGATACTCATCACCCACAGCCTGCATTCCCCACATCTGTGGGGTCCAAAGGGGAAAAAAAATAGTTCTGTCTGTGCAAAGACTAGACACCAACAGATGCCCACACATACGTGCAAAGCCGGTTTCAATAGAAAGATCTGCATTTCTCCATACTCCTTTTATGTTTTCCGTGTGATTTTCCCTACTCATCAGTCTTGCTGATTGGATACTCTGAAGTAGGGGAAGGAAATTAGGAGCCTCAAAAAAGCAGAGGAGTGGAAGGAAAGCCCCATAAAAACAGAAGCCAGTGCTGATGACCATGAGCCTTTCAGCCCTATCCAGTGACCTCCTCCTCCCTGCAGCTTGGACGAGGACCCAACTGGGTGCCATGGGGAGGGCAGAGAGGGTGGTACCTGGTTCGCAGGTTCTCTGGCCGGGGTGGGCCATCGAATACTGACAGGACATCAAAGTCCTCTTCCAGGGCGAAGGACTGGAACACGAGTTGGATCCTGTGCTGGTCCTCGGCGGTGATGGTCCACGTGCAGTTGGCATAATTGGGGTAGCCATACGGGAACCCTGGGCTCTCCACTGTGCCATTGGGACCCTGCAGTTGGAACGTGCAATTCTGGCCTGGGAGAAAGAAATGAAGCAGTCAGTGTGGCCAGAAGAACTTACAGAAGCTTCTAGAAAGAAGGAAGCAATGTGTTCAAGAATCACCGGCCCACTTTTCCAGGTGCTTCCTAGGGACCAACCGTGTGCTTGCCCCAGAGGAACAGGAGATGGGAGACCAAAGGGGCCTGTGACCAGGTGGTCGGTTGTGCATTGCTCTAGTCAAGCCTTAGAACAAGTCTGTGGGGTAGGACACCAAGGCTAAAGTGCCCCAGAGCCATTCGAACCTCCTCCCTGTGGCCTGACTCTCAGCTAATGCCCTCCCACCCTGCATAGAAAAGAGAAGCCATCAAGGGATTCCCCCTCGTCCCAAAGTTAGCCCTTCTAGCTGTCCTCATTCCTCCTTCAGAGGGACCCCCTCTCCATCGCCATGTCACCCTCCCCACAGGCCAGTTCCTTCCATCCTTCCCTACTGTCCAAGAACCTGCCTCTCTCAAACCTGTTCCATCCTCTCTCCACTGGAAACTTCCCATTCTGAAGGTCCCAAGACTCCCACCCCACCCCTCCAGGCCTCCCCGGCCTCGGCTCCCCCCTCCACAGCCAGAGTTCTAGAAGACACATCCAGTCTCCACGTCCTCACTTCCCATCCAACCCTGTCCACTCCCTCCAACCCTGTCGGCTCCGCCTTCTGGTCCTGTGGATCCACCCCAACAGACCTAGCGAGGCCACAGGTGCGCCCCGTGGTGTTTCACCTCCGGGTTCACTGGCCTCTTGCTGCTGCTAATGCTGTTCCCACCCCTCCCCAGGCCAGAGCACCTGTGACCTCGGGGTGCATGCCCCACCCTTGGATCTGGCTCAGGAGAGCAGCTGATGGACAGCAGGTAGGCAGGCCGAGTCTGCATTTCCTCCTGCTTCCTGGGGGTGTGCTGAGCAGAGGCTTGGGGACCACGCTGTGAGCGGCCTCGGCCTGGGCTTCCTCCCACCCCCCGCAGTCTCCTGCTTCCCTCCACTGCCCTCCTCTCTGTCCTTGTCCAGCTCCATGTCAGGGCCTCGCCTCCTCTCTCCCTAGCCTGGAGGACCTCCCGTGTGTGCACCTGATGACACACAGTCCAGACCAGGTGGCGGCCCCTCCCTTCAAGGCCGAGGTCTCCTTTGGGAGTCACGGGCTCTTGACACCCCCGGCCACTCTGTGCTCTTCTGACCCTCCCTCTCTCTGGGGACGGACTAGTACCTCCACTCTTTGTGTAGAGAGACCCTTGAAGGTGAACCACTCCCTCTCCTTCATGACCCTGTGGTCAGTGGGTCACCCTGTGTCAATTTCATCTCCCCCACCCCACACCAAGCTCTTTGCTGGCCTCCCATAGCTCCCATGTGGTGAGTCCCACGTACTCTGGCCCTGGACGCCTCATACTTCACCCTGGAACTGAGAGCCTCATTTCAAAATAGAAATCTCATCAGGCATCCCCCACCCATCTGCCCCAAGCCTTCCATGACTCCTCATTGCTCTTCAATAAGGACAAAAACACTGAAGGTCTACAAGGGTCTCTTCATGGTCTCGCCCTGAGTGACCTCTTTTAAAAAAAAAAATATATATATATATATATATATATATATATATATATATATATTAGTTTTAGTGACCTCTTGCCCCACACCCACCGGCTTTCCAGCCAAACACCTGCCCTCCACAGCCCTGCACACCTGCCCTCCGACTGCACAGCCACGAGCCCTGTGCACCTGCTGTTCCCTCTGCCTAGAACACTATTCCTTCTTTCCTGGCAGGTCTTTCAGACCTCAGTCTGGTGTCCCTCCTTGATTAAGTCAAGCCCCCGCCCCCATTATCTTCTGTCACAACCTCTCCTTGGCCGCACTCAGCACAGGAGCAAGTCTCCAGGCCTCCGTGTGATGGTTTCATGAGCACCATTTCACCACGCCGTGAGTCTGTTAGACCAGAGACCACACGAGTGAGTCTTCCATCTGCGACTCCACCCTCCAGCTCAGCAGCAGGCACAGGGTAACTTCCCAATAATTCAATAAAGCTCTCCTGCATTTACTCAGTATCTGCCTAGACGTTCTCCTAAGACCTTGACCTACACTGGTCTGCTGATCAGTTACCACAGCCCCAGGATCGGCACTATTCACATCGTCCCCATTGTACCCATGCAGAACTAGGGCAGAGAGAAATTAGGGAAGGGGGCCTGAGCCGCTGTTACTCAGAGGTGGGATTTAAACAAAAGTCGTCCACTTTCTTTACCGCGATGCTGATAAATTGTCTCAACACTTTTTTTTTAAAGCCACTTTAGGGATTAGCTGACAAAGGGCACTTAATCTCTAAAATGACTTTAATATTAAGAAATCTCTTAATACAAACTATCCCATTAAAGGAGAAAAAAAGTTAAGGGCTTCTGAATAAACTCTAAAGAGGCATTTAATAAAATTAGACATGTAACTGATTAAAATAAGTATTCAGAACTAGGAAAGAGAATATTTCCTTTCCATGATAAAGCATCCATTTTTGAACAATACCCTACATCGTATTTTTGGTGAAACATCTGATTAGGATCAAGAACAAGACAGAGATGCCATCTTCCCCCCCACCCGGGGACTTCATGCCTTATTGGAAGAGCTAACCCATGCGACACAAGAGAAAGAAATGAGTAAGGAAGAAGCAAAAAGATGGCTTGCAAATGATACATTAATATACTTAGAGAGTCCAGGAGAATCAATCATAAAGTGATTAAAACTCTAATAAGAAATTTCAGTACAGTAGCCAAATGCAAAAACACATAAAAAATCAATAACAACCTTATACGCCAGAGAACAGAGAAAATATTAGACTAAAGTTCTTGCTTATGGTAACTACAAAGTGCATATACATAGAAATAAACTTAGTAAGAAATGTAAAGGCACTACATGAAAATAATTTTGTGCAGAGGATTAAATATTTTTAAATAATTGGAGAGACAATACAATCTTGATTGGAAAGACTAACTACTGAAAGGTTAATTTATAATATTGACCTCTTGGAAAATTGTTGAGAAGTTAATTTATAAGCTTAATACAATTCTGATCAAAAGCCCAATGACCTGTTTGAAATTTGGTAAAATGATACCTAAGTTTAACTGGAAAAATAGGTTATTATAGACAGTGCATTTAAAAAAATGGTAGTAAATTTAGTAGTTTCACATTATAAGATACTAAGTGGAGTCACAAATGACCACTGAAAATGATGTGGGGGTAGTACCAGAATGACGGATAGAATCTGAAACAGTAATATAAGAATAGTCTTAACATAATAATACATGTAAGGAAATATTTTAAAAATCAAGGAGGCCGGGCACAATGGTACACACCTGTAATCTCAGCTACTGAGGAGGCTGAGGCAGGAGGATCACAATTTCAAGGCCAGCCAGGGCAACTTAGTGAGACCCTGTCTCAAAATAACAGAAGAAGGACTGGGGTGGTGCTCAGTGGTGGAGTACTTGCTTGGCGTTTGTGAGGCTCTGGGTTTTATCCACAGTACCTCAAAAAAATTCATGAGAAAATAAAAAGATATTTGCAGGTTCAATTACTGTTCACAGAAAAAATTGAGTTGTCTCCTCAACTCATGCCATAGACCAAAGTAAGTTCCAGATGGAGTAAAGAGTTAAAAGTTAAATATATATATATATATATATATATATATATAATATTTAATATAATATATAATATTTAATATAATATATAATATTTAATATAATATATATAATATATTTAATATAATATATATATATATATATTAGAAGAAAATTTAGATAATTATCTGACTGTGATTTTCTGAACAAAAAAGTTGTGGAAGAGACTGCTAGATAGTTTTATCTAAAAACTGTCAAAATAGAAACAAAATCAAAATGCTTACAAAAATGATAGAAATAGAAATCCTTAATAAAGAGTTATTACTAATAATAATTTTAAAAAGAGCAAGCCTTATATCGAAAAAAATTGGGCTCCAAGAGAAGACATGAGTGGCCAGGGAACCAGAAATATACCCAAATGAGATAATGAAATAAAACTTCCACCTCCACAACTTTCAAAGGGGCCCTAGGGACACCTCACAGGCACCGGATCTCTATGCCCCTAAAACCTCCTTGGTATATCACTGCCTCGTGTCATTCACTCATTCATTCACTCCTTTAGGTTAGACCCTCTGATAAAGCCAGGGGGCCCAGAGCACAGACTGGACACAAGTGAATTCATCCATCCATGGGGCCGGACTGTGCTAAGGGTCACAGAGAGTGGCTCTGAGGACCTCACAAGGGCTGCATCGTCTGGGCCACCCTCCTTCATTGGCAGACAACTGTTGATACCAGCATTCACCACCAACCCCTGCACCCTGGACAGTGCCTCAGCTCAGCCCTGCCCTGGCCTAGAGATTCTGACTCGGAACCTGGGTATGAATGGTGTCTTCTGCAAGAAGTGTCTAGAGCAAGAGTGAAGGGTGCTCAGGACATTTTCCATGGGATGGAAAAGATAAAAAGAGGAGGAAGCAGGAGACAGTTACAATAGGAAGAGGAGATCTGGGGAGAAGTTTCATTAGGAGAGGGTGACTCCAGGTGGTGACCACCACTGAGAGACTAAGATGAGGGTCTTGGATGAGGTCACTTGGTTTGACGTCTGAATGGTCCCTCTGGTAATAAGAACACGGAAAGTGGGAGCTTTGTTCTGGTCTTTGGCGGGTCTTCAGGGCCTAGAATTCAATAACTATCTGCTCAGTGGATACATCCATTTCCACAAAGGCAGGTGGGAGGGGATGAGGTGGATAGAGGCAGGTTTGTAAGATGTAGAGGCAGGATTGGCTGGTACACCTTGCAAGGCCATTATATTTTAAACAAAAACAGTAGAAAATGTGAAAAATACATCAAGACTGTAAAAAAGGAAATGGAATCTCACTTTCCTTCCAGAGGCAACTGCTATTAATATTTTCATCTTTTTTTTCTATAATTTTCCATGCATATTTCATATTGTTGAGATAATATTGCACA